CCCACACTTGTGACCCCATACCAGTTTTCAGGTCACAGGCACTGAATAAGTGATTTTTGAGTTTATTATATTAGAAGAAGTATTTAGCTCAAATCAATGTGTAGCTCTATGAAATCAACAATTTATTTTCATTAATTAAAGAGTACTCTAGATAAGCACTTTAACAGTATTTTATGTACTTCACACATTAGGTCTAATTCTCTTAATTTTTTGTTTCAACTTTCAGTGAATTATGCAGAAAGTAAGAGCTCACAGTATGCACTGAGGTTAAAAAAAAAAAAAAAAAAAGAATCAACCTAAACCTAAACTGTGTTCAGCAGGACCATGGCTGATGTAAATTAGAATTAACTGCATTTCTCATTTACGTCTTATACGGCAGCTTTTGTGAGAGAAAATTGTTACAGTTCTTAAACATTTTCCTACTTATTCTGCACCTTTTTCTTCCTTTTCTGTCAAATACCTTTTTTTTTAAGTTTCCTTTCTAGGTAGATGATTTTCTCAAAATAAATGATAAACTTACCTCCACTGCACTCTTATTCTAGATGAATTCTTCAATCCCAGCTTATTTTCATGGATCATTAGGATGTAATGAAAGTAGTATGTTAGTCATGGTCTTGTGAAACCATCTTCTCTAGCAGTGTTTTTTATTTATTTATTTTTTTAAAGATTTTATTTATTTATTTTTTCCCCCCAAAGCCCCAGTAGATAGCTGTGTGTCATAGCTGCACATCCTTCTAGTTGCTGTATGTGGGACACGGCCTCAGCATGGCCAGAGAGGCAGCGCGTCGGTGCGAGCCCGGGATCCGAACCCGGGTCGCCAGCAGTGGAGCGCGCTCACTTAACCACTAAGCCACGGGGCCGGCCCTCTAGCAGTGTTTTTTAAAACAATATAAAATGTATTGTCTGAAACCATTTGAGACTGGTCTGCCAAAATGGATTGATTGAGACTGCACTGTTCTGTCCCAACTAATATTTTGAGAAGCAGTCATTATCCTTAATGTTAGTAACCATCCCCTTCTCTGGGTGTGTCTTTTAGATGTATCGGTAAGAGGAGAACAAGGTATTCCTGGTCCACCAGGCCCCACTGGACCTCGAGGGCACCCAGGTCCATCTGGACCACCAGGAAAACCAGGCATTGGAAGTCCTGGACCCCAAGGAGAGCCAGGCTTGCCAGGACCACCAGGACCATCAGCCACCGGGAAGCCAGGTGTGCCAGGACTCCCAGGAAAACAAGGGGAGAGAGGACCATATGGACCAAAAGGAGACACTGGACCAGCTGGTTTACCAGGACCACGGGGCCCACCCGGACCACCTGGAATCCCCGGGCCGGCTGGAATTTCTATTCCAGGAAAACCTGGACAACAAGGACCTACTGGAGCCCCAGGACCCAGGGGCTTTCCTGGAGAAAAGGGTGCACCAGGTGTGCCTGGTATCAATGGACAGAAAGGGGAAACAGGATACTGTGCTCCTTGTCGCCCAGGTGAGAGGGGCCTTCCAGGCCCTCAGGGTCCCATGGGACCACCTGGCCCTTCTGGAGTGGGGAAAAGAGGTGAAAATGGGTTTCCAGGACAGCCAGGCATCAAAGGTGATCAGGGCATTCCAGGAGAAAGGGGACCAATTGGCCCACCGGGTCCCCAAGGTCCTCCTGGGAAACAAGGATCAGAAGGCATTGGAAAGCCAGGAGCCCCTGGAGCCCCAGGCCAGCCAGGAATTCCAGGAATGAAAGGTCACCCTGGGGCTCCAGGGATAGCTGGGCCCCCAGGGGCGCCTGGCTTTGGGAAACCAGGCTTGCCAGGCCTAAAAGGGCAAATAGGACCTGTCGGCCTTCCAGGAAGTCCGGGCGCCAAAGGGGAACAAGGCCCAGCAGGTCATCCTGGGGAGCCAGGTCTGACCGGACCCCCTGGAAATATGGGACCCCAAGGGCCAAAAGGCATCCCGGGCAACCACGGGATCCCAGGGCCTAAAGGCGAGACAGGGCCAGTCGGGCCTGCAGGACAGCCTGGGGCTAAGGGCGAAAGAGGCTTCTCTGGCTTAGATGGAAAACCAGGGTACCCAGGAGAACCAGGTCTCAATGGTCCTAAGGGTAACCCAGGGTTACCAGGCCCAAAAGGTGAGCCCGGAGTTAGAGGACCCGCTGGTCTCCCAGGCCCTGTGGGCCCAGCAGGAGCTAAGGGAGTGCCTGGAAACAACGGTGAGGCTGGTCCAAGAGGTGCCCCTGGAATACCAGGTACCAGAGGTCCCATTGGGCCACCAGGCATTCCAGGATTCCCTGGACCTAAAGGGGATCCAGGAACTCCAGGTCTTCCTGGCCCAGCTGGCATAGCAACTAAGGGCCTCAACGGACCCACTGGGCCACCGGGGCCTCCAGGTCCAAGAGGCCATGCTGGAGAGCCTGGTCTCCCGGGGCCCCCGGGACCCCCAGGGCCCCCAGGCCAAGCAGTCGTGCCCGAGGGCTTTGTAAAGGCAGGCCAAAGGCCTAGTGTTTCTGGGATGCCTCTTGTTAGTGCCAACCAGGGTGTAACAGGAATGCCTGTGTCTGCTTTCACTGTTATTCTCGCCAAAGCTTACCCAGCAATAGGTGCTCCCATCCCCTTTGATAAGATTTTGTATAACAAGCAAGAGCATTATAACCCAAGAACTGGAATCTTTACCTGCAGGATACCAGGAATATACTATTTCTCCTACCACGTGCATGCGAAAGGGACCCACGTTTGGGTGGGCCTGTATAAGAATGGTACCCCTGTAATGTACACCTATGATGAATACATCAAAGGCTACCTGGATCAGGCTTCCGGGAGTGCCATAATCGACCTCACAGAAGATGACCAGGTGTGGCTCCAGCTGCCCAATGCCGAGTCAAATGGCCTGTACTCCTCTGAGTACGTCCACTCTTCTTTCTCAGGATTCTTAGTGGCTCCCATGTAAGCACATTCCCACTGAGCTAATCCAAATCTGCTTGAAAGGTCATTCCCCAACCCACCCCGCCCCCAAAAACGCATACGGAGGTAGGCTGAAACAAATGCGACTGATTTTAACTTTCCAAAATACAGATTTGAGCTTTCAGACCAACAAATTTTCCCCTTGAAAAAGTGAGCAGCAAGGCTAAACAATACATGAAGACCCTCTCAACTTCTAGTCAGCAATCTTAAGGCTCTTGAAAGTTTTCTGTGAACTTCTTCAGTTTGAAAGTTTCACCATAAAAGTCCTGCTAAGCTAAAAAATAAAATGATCACAAAAAACCCTGAAATACGATGCTAAATTAGATCTCAGAAACTCAGCATTTCCTTTTAAAATAAGCCTGTTTCTAACCATTAACATGAGAACTTCTAGGAAACATTCAGAAGGAATCGTATAGCTTTACAGAATTTAAATACTTGAATATTCAAATTTAAAAGACACTGTGTATTCTAAAATATTTCTGATGGTGCATTATCAAAGCTTATATGACTCCTTTCATCAAGATCTATTCAAATATATAGGTGCAGATAGACTTTATATAGCTCTCATAAAAAAAAGAAATATTCCGTTAAAATTAATCTGAAATGCAAGGTGCTTGAGTTATGAACCTTTTCAAACTTTCCTGTGATTGCAGAACAGCTTTCTGTACACCCTTCACAACTTGGAAAGAGGTGTCTCATCTATTTTATTCATTTAACACAAGTGTGATTACTTTGACTTCTTTAATTCCTCACTGAGTCTCATGTCATGTGATTTTTGTGGGTTTACAGAACATTAGTATACGTACCTTGTGCATCCCATTGCAGTGAAATTATAACTAATGTCAAGGGTTTCAAAATCTGACTAGAAACGAAAAGACATTATTTATTTACGCTCTGTACTGTATTTTTATGTTGCTGTTTAAAACTTTTAAGCTGTGCCTCACTTATTAATGCACGAAATGTTTTACCTACTCCTTATTTACAATGCAATAAAATAACATGAATAGATTTTTACGTTGAATTTATTTGACAGCAGCAATTTGCTATTCTCAACCACTGTTTTAAGGCTTTTCATTTCACAAAGCTAATAAAGAGTAAAACAACAAAGTGGTGGGTGGGTTTTACACTTGTCATGGAGATGCCCCCCTACTGGAGATGGGCATTCCCACACACCTCAGCACTCAGTGTAGACTGTGAAAAGGCACCCACAAAACCTCATGCAACCTACGAGCCAGGATGAAGGGGTGGTGACTCAGCATAGAAAAGTGAGACAATCACCCCAAAGCAGTGATTTTCTTCTGGGAAGGAAAGAAGCAAGTGGCAGAGAAATATGTAATTTGAACAAATATTCTGCAGTTACTACTTATTGCCTTGACATGTTTTTAGTCATAATATTTACAATTATTTTGATAGCTTAAATTACATTAAAAGGAAGGCAAGCAATTTTTATGTCAATCAAAAGGCAACATTTTTCTAAGCTGAAAAATACGGCTCTTGAGCATCTATCAGCCCACTGGTTGAATCAGGACAGTCTGGTTCAAGTCACTAGGATAACATACTATAAAGCCATCTCTTTATTCCTTACAGGTAATCACTGTGAAACCCAGCAAACCTGTAGATGGAACCAGGAAACCCTAGGCTCAGGTTGGCGAGATCTCTGCCCCCATTCTGTCAGCCAGTCCTGTTTTTATGCAACAAGAACGGAATTTTCACTTTCCCCATCTGTCTATAACTACTACACTAATGGTTACAGGTGTCACCAACCCTCACTCCCAAGCCAGGAAACAGCAAGCTGGAACTTCAATTCTGGGGAACCCACAGAACGATCCTACTGGCAGACACGTAAAAGACAGCGTAGTTCAGAATACTAGCAATTATGGCCACGAAACAGACACAAATAAAAGAACCTCTTACAATTAAGTGGTACCAACTTCACAGCAAAATTTAAGACCAAATTAAATACTAATTAAGGAACATGGCAAAATAGGTAACTTCTAAGTAACTCACAAGACATAGCATTTAACAAAAATCTGTTAGAAAGTCTCTCTCCACATTACTCACCCTTAAAAGCTGACATTCTATAATTGTGTTGTATACCAGCAGCTATATCCTTCCAAAAATCAAATGTTTTTTGACCATTGTTCTGCTAAAAGAAAAAATTCCCAAATGTAACACATGAAATAATGCTGTTTTTAAGCATAGTAGAAAATATTTGGCAAATAATTACAATATTACTGTATTGTAAAATAGAGACCAGTGTTTTAGAAAAGATAACAGACTAATAAACTTATGCTTTTAAATGTGATTTTTTTAAGTTTAATTAATTAATTTGCATTTAAATTTTTTTTAATTTTTTGATTATTGCAGTAACATTGGTTTATAACATTGTATAAATTTCAGGTGTACATCATTATACTTCTATTTCTGCATAG